CCCAATTGTCGATATATCAGCCAATACAAAATGTAATAACACTGCTACTCACGTACGTCCCAAGTGCATTCCAAACTTGTCCCGGAAATATAAAGATTCTTTTGATGAAAATAAAATTAGGGAGATTGATGCTAGCTTCGCTGCAATAGATCTGGGTCAATTGGACCAGGTTACAATGGATGACCTCGTTAATGTTCATTAATCTATTTAAACAACTAGGCATGATGAAAGACATTAAAATCAGAATCAATAATAAATCTAATTATAAACGAAAAAGTAGTCCATGGTTTAATAAAAACTGCGACAAATTGAGATCTGAATATATAAAGAAGCAAAAAAGTGTTTAATTAAACAAAATCTGATAATGACAGGAATGTGTTTCACTCAATTAGTAAAGAGTACAAAAAATTGCTTGCAAAATGTAAATGGGAATTCCGACGTAAACTTATGTGAAACTTTGTACGATGAAGAAATCAAAACCAGAAACATTTTGGTCAGTTTTAAACAATTCTATTTTGGCTAATGATGAGAATAATATAATTGATATTGATAGATTCAAACAGCATTTTGATAATCTTGGACAGTCCACCAGTAAGGAAAACGTCCATAATTTTGATCCCAGACTGGTCACCCATTCAAATAACGAGGAAATTAATACTAGCATTACAGTGGATGAGGTTATGACTCAAATTAAAAAGTTAAATAATAATAAACAGCAGGTGTAAATTTAATTATAAATGAATTTCAGAAAAACAGTCGCGATGATATTATATCATTGATTGTACAATTGTTTAATATAGTTTTGGACACTGATATCGTTCCTGCATCTTGGACAATGGGCTGTTCTAAACCAATTTTTAAGAACACAGGTGACCCCAGTGACCCTAGTAACTACAGAGGCATTACACTACTTAGTTGCCTAGGCAAATTATTCACAGCTGTTACAGGTTGACATCTTATTTGAATTGTGTGGGTTCTTTGGGTGAAGAGCAAGCAGGTTTCAGGGCGGGATATTCCACGCTAGATCATATTTTTGTCCTACACTCGGTTATTGATTTATATTTACATAATAAGAAACGAGTATACTGTGCTTTTATTGACTATAAAAAGGCGTTTGATCTGATTGACAGGACAAGTCTATGGTTTAAACTAATCTCCAACCATATAAATGGTAAAATTATTACAGTTATTTATAATATGTACAACCAAACAAAGTCTTGTGTTATTGACAGAAGCGTTAAATCTGATTTCTTTAATTGTAATGTTGGCGTTACACAAAGTGAAAATCTTTAGCCACTGTTGTTTGCTATTTATCTTAACGATTTTGAGTATTTTATCAGTAAGCACTATAGTGGTCTAAAATATATGCTAGCGAGATTAAAACATATTTAAGTAATGGGGATATAGAAGTATTTCTTAAGTTATTCACTTTATTATATGCTGATGGTACCATTGTACTGTCTAAATCAGAGACAGAATTGCAATCTGCACTAAATGCTGTTCATACTTACACTGCAATGAATGGCATTTAACTGTAAATGCTAATAAAACAAAGGTTGTTATTTTCTCGCGTGGGAAATTTTGGCAATGAAACCACTGAAGTAACATTTGATTATAATTATCTTGGCATAACATTCAATTATAATAACAAATTCACGAAAGCAATATGTAAACAGACAAACCAGGCCAGACGTGCCATGTTTAGCTTACTGATGACAGTAAAAACATTATGTCTACCCATCGACATACAACTAGAGTTATTTCATCAGTTAGTCATGCCGGTGTTATTGTATGGATGTGAAATATGGGGTCATGCAGATCTTTCCCAAATTGTATAGTATACGGTGAACTTGGGGTATGCCATCTTCGTAAGTTGGTGGAAATTTTAGGAGTACTATTATACAAAGTAAATCTTGAAAATTATCACATAGAATCGACAATTTATTAAAAGTGTTACATGACAGAGATATATACAAATCAGCCTGGATGTTAAAAATTAAAGTTGTTCTGGATACGGCTGGTATGTCAACTCTTTGGCTGATTGGGTCAAATGTAAATATAACGTGGCTTAAGCAAGCGATAACACTTAGATTATCGGACATGTATTCACAAAACTGGAATGCTGATCTGCTAGACAAAAAAGTCATTATCTGTGTCAGATTACATTTTGATACTCAATCCTGCACATCGTATTCAATTATGTAAATTTAGATGTGGGAACCACAATTTGCCCATTCTCACAGGTCGCTATCAAAATAAGGCCGTTCATGATAGAACTTGTACCTTATGCCAAGGTAACCACCTTGGTGACGAATTTCACTATATCTTTGAGTGTCTGGCCTTGAGTAAAGAACGGGAAAGATTTCTGAAATTATATAATAGAATTAGACCTAACACTTTAAAAATGCATCAGCTATTGAATATATCTAATGAATCGGAGCTGTTAAATCTTTCTAGATTCTGAAAAGATATAATGAATCGGTTTTTAATTTAGCCAGGTCAATTCTGACCACCGATTCAGTGCCATGTACTTTTATTTATTTACTTGCTTTTTGTAATTTTGAACCGGTGCCTTATTATGCATTTCTTCTAATTTATTAATTTATTTCGTGTGACGCTTCCATGTACATGCTTTTTTCGTTTGTATTATGTAATGTATATTATTTAGTTCTCTCATACCTCTATCGGAGGAAGCGGAGGGAATAAATTATTATTATTCATATTGCTAAATAATGGGATACATTATCGCTAATAATCTGCCGTAATGACAATCCACCGATATTTATAATGCTATAATAATAGGTCATTTGAACATTATGTATGGATATGGATATTACTTATACATGGCCACAAATCAACTTACAACTCTGTACAATAATTAGTAGAATTATACCAGATAAGACTGAAAGGAGCAGTATTATATCAATCAGGTAGTATTGTATGAATGACATATCTTTGGCATTGCTGTTCAAATGCTTCCCACCATACTTGAAAACATAGTTTACCCAGTAAGCAACGGTCTCTGACGCGTTCATTGGCTTGTCTTTGTACAGTTTTGAAAAATACATCGTATTTAATTTGTACCTGAAAATATAAAAGGTAAAATATGTTATTATCTTCCATTCTTTCAATAATTATACTGCTACTTGGCACAGTGAACTTATTCAATATTTAGGTTCCGATCGAAAGGCATATAATTTTAGGAGTTGTCCTATAACATGGGTGTAAAACGTAGCCATCCTCGTCAAAATAAATAATATCAAAAAATGGCATATGGATTTCCCGTTAAAAGTGATAATTTAAATACAGATATATGTAAAATACTCACGTGTTATTATTAACAACCTCCATGATTGTTTGGTAAAGACTTTCCTCAGTTATGTCACTGTAAAAAACTGTCTTTCCCATGCCTTTATTCTGTACTTTGGCAGCGTTATCAAAGTGATCAGCGCCTAATGGTATATTCACCATGGGAACGCCATGGTAAATTGCTTCATATATACCATTGGTACCTGCATGGTTTATGAATACCACTGTCTTTGAATGACCTATATGAATAAAACAAACAATTATAAGATGCAGAGAACAATACTGGTAGTGTCTTTTATATAATTAGAATTTGCAAATTGTTATATCACTGATAATTTGACATCTTTTTAACTGAAATGCCGAACTTCGCCCTGGATATGATGTAATGCTTTAGGTATGACGTCTATGGAGTAATACTGTGATAATCGTCTTCAAACA